CGGCTGCCTCTCCCCGCCCCCGCCCGCGCAGGGAGGGGGGGCCGGGGGTGCCCGTGGCGGTGACGGTGCCTTTTGTGTCCCCCCAGGTGCAGGTGAATCTGGTGTTTTGGAGGGCGCCGCGGTCCCGGCATCACCATGAAGGTAAGATCGCTGCGGAAAAGGAACCTCTGGGGCCGCAGAATCCAGGAAGCGAGGGGCCGGACCGGGTCGAGGGCGTGCGCTGGGCCCTCCGAGCGCTGGGCTTGGGCTTGGGGTGCGAGCCTTTTCGGGGGGTGGGACGAGAGTTAGTGGGACGGTTGTCGGTGCGCGGTGCCGAGGAGTTGGAGCCAGTTTGGGGATCTCGCGCTGAGGATGGCTGTCCCGTGTTTCGGGCGCCTCTGTTTGCCGGAAATGAGAGGGAATAATTGCATGCAGGAGAGTGTTTCTAAGGGGAAAGCAGAAAAAGCAGGTCACGTAATCCGACTCGAGAACCTGAACTGCATTGGGGTTCTAGCGGTTACACGGCTGTAAGGAGACCCCATTGATGGTGTTAACCGTGCCGGGAGCTTTTAGCAGACCTACTTGATTGGCCACGAACATATCATCTTGACGCAAAGATTTTTTTGAAAGAGGATTTTGATGATCTTTGCACAGCTCGGAGATGGCACCCGTTCCTGGCATTTCCAGGGATTTGGGAGGGCTCGGTGTGCGCGTCTTTGTTGAACTGCATGTGGTCTGGGAATTGCCAGGTGTAGTGTTGCTCCGCGATGACACCGATGGCCAGGTTCCTCTTAAATGTGAACGTGTTAACTGGAGGAGGAGGTTGTCCGAGAAGTGAGATTTGCTTAATTGGTGGACGAAGCGCCAGCAGTACGAGCGCAGGCTGTTTGTTCCCGGTGGAGACGGTGTGATCGGACGCTGTGATGTTGTTCAACAGTTTCGGAGAAAAGCCTTGGGCCCCTGGGTGTCTGGGTCCAACTGGTGGGACTGGAGGCCGCAGGTATTTCCATCCGCGTTCGGAAGTGCGCGCGGAGCAGGTGGAGTGTGTGCACAAGGACAGAATGCAGCAGATAGTCTAAGTGTAAACGCCGTCCACTCTTGACAGTTCCTTTGAACTGTTTTTAAACAAGTTTACTTGCTTTTCTTCAGAGCCAGGAGTGCTTCTAAAATTTGTAAGGCTTGTGCTTATGGCAGACAGAAAAAACGGTGGCTGCTGAAATGTTTGTCAGCTATACCAAGGAATTATGTTCAGTGATTTTTTCAGGCTTTTTCTTCTTGAGTTTGAGGTCCTTTAAACACCTAAAATGTGTGTATCTGCTGGATTCCTAGCTCACCTTCCTGTAAACAAAAAGGCAGTCAGGGATGTTTCATAAAGGAATCCCTTTTTGTTAGTCACAGGTGTGACTAACGCCTGTGACCTGTGTAAAACAGTGACAAGTGAGTTTGTTAAGAAAAATGTATACCTTGCTTGATGTTGGATAAGAATTTCTTAAGAAAAATGTTGGTTTGAATAATAGGTAATACATTCAGAAGCTGAATAACACGGGATTTCATTTGGAATACATGTTGTAATTTGTCACAATTTCCAAAGTAGTGCCTGGCCTGTTAGGAACTCTGTTAATCTTTGGTTAAAAGAAATGTAGTAAGTTGAAGGTGTTTTAGATTTAAATTTCCTTTTCTTTCATTTCCTTTTTCTTCTCTTTTTTTCAATGTGTGTTTAAAAAAATGAAAGTATGTTGGAAACTTTAACCTTAAAAAAGTTTCATGGTGTTAGGCAAATGCAAATTTTTGAGTATCATTTTAAAACTACTAATTTTAAATGCTCAGCATTTCCATTATTCCTGCCGTTAAGAAAAGATGTTAGTAACGTTAAAAAGTGTTATTAAAATACACTTCTGATTTTATCCCAGAAGAACTTCCTGTTGCTATATAATCAGTTTTCTCTTAGGGAACCTCCTAGTAATCGGTAGTACTAAAAACTTAGCTAATTTCTTACAACTTAATTTCTTGTGTGATGAAAGGTGACAGGCTGCCCATGATTGGTATTTTGCTTTAAAAAAATTGCATTTCAAAAAGTATTTAATATTGATTATTTTGGACTTAAATTTTTTCCATGCTCCCAATTTCCCTATTGTAATGACAACAGCCTTGTAGAGGGATTTATGCTATTTATTAGCTCTTACCGAACATATTTATACTTGCTGTAAGGAGGTGGGGTGTATAATGTTGATGGAAGAAGACTTGAGGTGGTGAACACACAATACAGTGTACAGATGTGGAATTGTGCACCTGCACCCTGTATAATTTTGTTAACAACCAGTGTCACCCCCAGTAAATTAAATAAAAGGGGGGAGATCACTGTAGTTATGCTTGTGACATAGCTTAAAAGTAATGATGCTTAGCCCTGGCTGGGGGGTTCAATGGTTAGAGCATCAAACCAAAGAGTTCCAGGTTTGATTACGGACAGAGGCAAGTACCTGGTTTTGGACTCGCTCCCTGGCCCTGTTTGGTCAGTTGGTCCTTGGTCCGGGTGGATGTGTCTCTCACCTCCTCCCTCCCTCCCACTCTCTCTCACTGGGAAAGATGTCCTCAGGTGAGAATTAACAACAACAAGAAGTAATGATGCTTAAAATTTTAACTGATTTTTAAAGCATAATAATTTTTTTAAAACGAAGTAAACTTTTAAGCTTGTTATGTTCTATTAGTCACAAAAATTTTTTAAATTTTATTGTGACATTTGTTTTGAGGTAAAAGTGCTCTTTTGGCTGTTGCTTTAAATCCCAAAATAAATACAGTGAATATGTTAAGTATTATTTGTTTTAGAAGGAATTTTCTTGTAGTGCTATCTTCAAGATTGGTATACTCTGTCTTGAGATATTTTTGTCCAGTGTGTTTTTGAGAAATCTAACACATTTTAAAAAATATATATATTTTTATTGATTTCAGAGACGGAGGGAGAGGGAGAGAAAGATAGAAATATCAATGATGAGAGAGAATCATTGATTGGCTGCCTCCTGCACGCCCCCCACTGGGTATTGAGCCCGCAACCCAGGAATGTGCCCTTGACCGGAATCGAACCCGGGACCCTTCACTCCGCAGGCCGACGCTCTATTCACTGAGCCAAACCAGCCAGGGCACACTTTTGTGCTTTTAACATAGATCATGATTTAGATGTTATGTTGTATTTATTTTTCATACTTTTGATAGCCCTTTCAACATCAGTGATAGCACATTATCAAGAAATGATAGACTGTTAAGGGTTCTAAGTTATTCTAAGACTTAATTATATCAGATTCATTTCCTACTTATTTTTTTCTGCATCTATATTAACATTACATTGTGGTAAAATTTCTGTTATTTATTTATTGTTATTTTAGAAAAAGAGGAAGGGGGAGAGATTGAGAGAAACATCGATTTGTTCCACTTATTTATTGATTCTTGTATGTGTCCTGACCTGGGATTGAACCCATAACCTTTGTGTATCAGGGAGGTGCTCTAACCAACTGAGCTACCCAGCCAGGGCCGTGGTAAACTTTCACGTGAAATGGGAAGGCTAGACATTTCAGAATCTTTAGGGAGTAAGTGCTATAGATAGTTGTACTTAGAACTAGGGAGATGGTTTTTTTTTTTTGGATGTATCAGTTTCTCCAGTAATCACTGGCTTCAGTCATATACAAATAATGAGTTGATTACAAATGCCTTTTTAAATGCCCTTTCCTTGTGTGCTTGTGTGCATGTTCTTACTCCTGCTTCCCCTCCCTTCTTCTCCTTTTACTTCCTCCTTTTTCTTCTCTCTCTCCTTGCCACCCCCCCTTCCTCTCTCTCCCCCCTTTATAAATCACTCATTTATAACAGCCCCTTGCATGTGTCAGGCCGAGTGGAATGAAGGTGAATAAGCTATAGACCTGCTCTCAGGGAGCTCACAGTTTAGTAGAAGACAGAGAAAACAAAACATGGTGCATATTGAATTATAAGAGTATTGATTCAATATATGGTAGTTATAAGTCCGGTGGGATATCTAAGTCAGAGAGACCCATGGAAAGTCCTCTGGAATTGACATCTCAGCAGAGAGTTAGACTTTCACTAGGCAGAGAAAGGAGTGTTTTAGACAGAGAGGAAACAACATTTGGAAAGTAAAGGAAAGCAAGGTAATGATGTATTTGGGAACTAAGGAGTTTACTGTGGCTGGATTATCTTAAAGCACAATGTGGTGGAGGTGGGAATAGGAGGGCAGTGATGGGGGAGGAGGCTAAGTCGGGAGTTGAAAATATTCTTGGAAGGTACATGAAGTCACTGAAGGTTGTTAAGGAGGGGTAAAGATGTTAGATTTGTAGTATAGAGAGATCACTTTGGTAGCATTGTATTGACTACATCAAAAGGGAGATCTGAATGGAAGGGAGATTCCAGGTGAGGACCCCAACTGAGAAGTGACTAATGCACAGGGTGTGGAGCCGAGGGGATGGGTCTGAGATAGCTAGGAAGTAGAGTTTAGGGCTGAGGAACTCACCTGGGGTAGGAGAAATATGCAGATTCCTTCGGCATGAGATGGATGTTATTGTCATTTGAAGCATGTTGTCATTAAAGATGAGTAGGGTTTTGAGTATTTAAAGGACCTGTAAGAGGTCCACATCCATATGGATCTACTTATTAAGATGTGAGATTAAGAGAGCAGTTTGATGGAGAGCAGTCAGACTTGATTATCCACCGTGAATGTTAACCTCATAGTTAATATTTAACTACAATATTCAACTGGATTTAGGTTCATAATGTGACAAATGTATTTTGTCCTATAAATTTGTGGTCTTTTTGATGAAAGGCAATTTTGTAAAATACCGACTTGTTTGCTGTCCAAATTGCTAGCTCTTTGCTTATTGAAATTTTAAAAAGTATGGCAGATGAGTACATTTTCCACTGGAGAATGCACTTTTGCTAACTCAGCCTATAAGTTCAGTCACTGAAGAGATATTGTGTACTTTCCTGGTACCAGGCATGGTTTTGGTGTTGAATATACATCAATGAACAAAACAAGAGTTTACTACCTTGTGGAGTTTACTTTTTATTAGGGTAGACAGACACCAAGCAATATAAAACACATGTAGTAAGTGCTATGAAGAGAAATAAAGCAGATTCGGGCTGAGAGGTTAGAGTGACAGAGGGTGTTA